GGAAGGCATGTGCAGCTTGTGCTGCATCTGCTTTTATTCAGCGTCAGATGCTGTTCTCAAGCCCGTTCTGTGGAGGAACCTTCCAATGAAGCTGGCGGATGAGGAGAACATGTCACAAACTCCGGGGTCAGCATCAAGTCTCACTCATTTAAAGGGGTCCAGCAAGCCAAGGGTCTGCTTTGGATGTTTGAAACGCCGCTCAGTACCCAGCGCTCCGATGAGATGGATTTCATGAGCCAAAAGAGGAAACGGAGGCAATGCATCACCACATGAACTTAACCGCCAGTACGCGGGCCAAATGTACTGCGCCCAAGGGCGGTTTTTATGGCTCATGTATGTCGGTGAGTTCATGGGAAGGTTATCGAATCACTGCCTAAGGGGACGGGCAGGGCATTTTGCTCATCGCGTTGCCCAAGGTTTCGATTTCCCAAGATCACCATGGAGGACCCTGCGAGCCGAGCCCACGAGGGGGGGAGAGTGACGCCTCATCAGCCAAAATTGGGGGCCTTCCTTCCAAGTGATCGGTGGATGTAGTTGAAATGATGTCACCGAAGGGTGCCGATTAAACCAAAAAAACCCACAGACCCATAGTATGGATGTTTCCTATGACCAACCGTCCTCGGGGTTTAGGATGAACGGCAGCAACATTTTCGGCTTATAGCTCGTGCTGTTTGGATGGCAGGGCCGCTCTGCCTGCGCTGTGGCCGTTGGAGTCCGGAGTCTCCTTCGTCGGGAGGCGGGCTCTGCGGCCTGTGCAGGGCGGCCCTGTTTGTGGACGGGGTCGCCACTGATCCCCGTCTCACTCCGGCGCTCCACTTCCACGTGGAGTACGCCTTGAAGCGGGTGGTCGGTGAGGTCGCCCTGCTTCTTGGCCCCCTCCAGGCCGGAGTGAGTCGGGAGCTGAGGACCGCAAGAGATCAAGAGAGGCGAGCAGTGAGGAGCCTCTCAGACGCAAGAAGGACAAGAAGGACAAGTCCAAGAAGGAGAAGAAGGAGGCTAAGGCTGTCAAGAGTGGCAAGGAGCTCAAGCAGCCCTCGGTCAAGAGGGCGGTCCCCTAGGTCTTCGGCCAGGGAGCGGGAGGAAGAGGCTTGCAGTCAAGGAGGAGTCCTACAAGTACACCAGCGTCTCCCCCGACCCGGAGGCGGTTTCTTCTTCCTGGCGGCCTAGCCTCTCCAGAGGGGAAAGGACTGCAGAGCGGGTGGGATCCCGCCTAGCCCCACGCTCCCCGGATTATCCTCCGGGGGCGCATCCCAACACCTCGCCAGTTGAGGCTCCTGCTCCGGTGAGACCTCAGGGGGAAACCCCTCGGACTCACTGGTCCTGGAAAGAGATCAGAGAGTGGGAAAAGGCTCGAGGCATTCGGAGAAACAAGGCCAACAAGGGCCGTAAGCACCGAGAAAGGAAGAAAGAAGGTTGAGGCCTCGGCGTGACTCCTCGGAGGATCCCGGAGGCCCTCCAGAGGAAAGACCTGAGCTACATGCCCGAGGATCCGGAAGAGGCCGGCAGCGAGGGAAGAGAGTAGGCCCCGGCGGCCATCTGCGTTGGTGGCTGATACAGCAGGGACATGGATGCCAATTGCAGAGGCAGACGAGTCTCTCCTAGTGTTGGGAGGGAAGTTTTGGGCCCAGGGGTATTACCTGGGCAGAGATGTGGAGATCGTCTTGAAGGCCGAGGCAAAGATAGAGGACGAACTGGGCCGGTGGTTGAAGGTGCAGCTGTGCGGCACTCCCGACGCAGGCCTCAGGGAGTGGGGTCTCAAGAGCCGGAGATTATTTATATCTCTGAGGATGATACCGCGAGACCAACACCTGCGGGACGAAGAGCTTTTTTACACGACCCAGGTGAAGGAGGTGGACCCGGAGTTGGAATGGAAGAGCAATTGCCTCCCCGAGCCGAGTGGCCCCCATCAGAGTTTGGGGGAATTGGGAGGCGTGGCAGAATTGGCAGAGGAGATGGTGCGAGGGCGCCGAGCGGGACGAGCCCAGGAGAAGGAGGGCACAGCTTTGCCTCCCGCTGCTCCCAGGAATTTCCCCGTGGACGGGAGAGAGTTGTCTTACTCTCCGCAGAGAGCAGACGAAGGCGAGAAAGAAAAAGGGAGAAGCCAAAAAGAGGAAGTTCAAGGCCAAGGACAAGGTACGCGTGCTGGAGATGCTGAAGCAAAGCAGGTGGTCATGGCGAGGATCGAGCCTCGATCCGGAGTTCAAGAGGTCGAAGATAAAGCTGAGGAGAGGAGGAGACAGCGACTCCAGCAGCAGCAGTCATTCGGGGCGGTCCAGAGTCCAAGGTCCTCTTCCCAGAGGAGAGCCAGGCCAAATACGTGGCCAGGCGATGTCCCGGGCTGCTAGCCAAGATGGGGCTCCAGCGGTGCAGGAAGACCCTGTGCGATGGGATGGGTCTTTCGCTTGCCAGCAGGGAGCTGGGGCCCGCCATGGTTCAGTACTTCCGCCAGTCTCTCTCGCGTCTCAACCCGTCGCGCCCATTGGCGAGAGAGGCTTTGTCGCTCTGTGCGGTCATGGACCAGCTCTTCGAGGGGGAGGTCGTCCGCGCGCTGGATGTCAGCATGCAACGCCTGAAATACCTCGAAGCCATCATGCGAGGGAGACGCCCGGAGGTGGCATCAAGGATGGAGTTGATCCCGGAGATCCTCAACAGCGTGGCCACAGACGAGGAGCTCCGTACGGCTGCAAAAGAGCAGAAGCAGGACAAGCTTTTGCAGGCCTCCGCGGGGAGGCGCCCCTGGACAGGGGGCAGTGGGTCAGCAAGCGGAGTTCATCAAGACCAAGGAGATCACGCCACCCCCTGGCAGGGAAAAGGGGGCGATCACGCTAACAGGACTTACCCTCCCAAAGGGAGGGGCTGGAGCAAAGGCGGGAAGCCAAAGGGCAAGGAGAAAGGCTTGAAGGGCGCCCACAGTCGGAGGTGAAGCCCAAGCCCGCGGACGCCTGAGCGGTTTTGCAGCAGTGATCTCCTCTTCGCCTGAGAGGAGAGATGAGCCGGATTCAGATTTGGTAGCTAAGCCCCACGTGCCTGATCTTGCCCCCGTCGCATTTTTCCGCGTCCGATAGTTCCCTTGAACTGTCACTCGCTGCAGCTGGACGCTGCTTGCAAGAGTGGTGGTTTGGAAGTAGGGTCGAGGTTGTTGCCTTCACCGCGAGCAAGGCGGCCTGGGAAGGGGAACGAAGCCTGCCGTCAGACTTGTTTCCCCTGCCCGCGCGGGGGGGTGGTTTGGGCACGGAACATGGGGATTTTCCCTTTGATGCTTGGTTTCAAGGGGTGGTCACGGGCCTCAACTGGATGGCTGGTTACCCCCCTGTCTCTTCGGATTCGATGCCTGGACATGAGGGCACTGCGCTGCAGCAAAAAATACTGCGGCATCTTTGGGAGTCCATTTCCTGTGTAGGTAGGTGGAGAAAGGTTCCGCTACCTAGCCCCGAAGGGGAGGAGGATTTTTGGAATGCTAAGGTTGTTAATTCCTGCGGGATGGAAGTACACGTCCCGCAGAATTTGGGGTGGGCCAACCTAGCACATTCCCTGCCCGCCAAAGGCAGTGCAGGAGTCGTAGATGCACTTGAAGTGTGTTCGGGGGGAGTCAAAGACTTCCTCAAATCCCCCCCACAAGTACTTGAAGCCACAAGGTTCCCGGAAGTGGCTGAAACCTCCCAAAATCAGGGTTGGGGAGGAAGATTGGGGGCAGGTTGCCCTTGAAAGGGGCATCTGTACCCCTTGGCCCCTGGAAGAAGCCTGCGAGGTTGAAGGGGAACCCCTTCTTGGTGGGCTTTTTGGGGTGCCGAAGCATGAGGTTGTCGGGGGCGTGGTCCTGAGGCTGATTATGGACCTCCGCCCGGCAAATCTTCTTTTTGAACCGTTGCAAGGTGATTTAGCAACGTTGCCCCTCTTATCGCAGATGGCGCCTTTGGAGGTTAGAGAGGGTGAACATGTCCTCATCTCGAGTGAGGATATCAAGGCGATGTTCTATGCGGTAGGCCTTCCTGAGGTTTGGAGGCCTTTTCTTTGTTTCAATAAGGTTATACCGGCCTCCCTTAATCCGGGTGGGGATAGGAGGCCACATGTGCTGTCTGCTACAGTGCTCCCAATGGTTTGCAAAAGGTGAACCCTTCCGCAGCGGCACTTTTGGAGGGGCGACCAAATGGGGCGAGCCTGGCACTGCGTTCAGTTTATGAGGAGTTCAATGTTCCCCGAAATGTGAAGAAGACTGTCGAACAACAGCTGGTCGCAGAGATGCAGGGTGCGTTGTTTGATGGGGTTGAAGGTTCTATCAGGGCCAAAGACGAGAAAACCGCTCGATATGTTCAGGGAGGACTTTTCCTCCTAAGGTCGAAGAGGACCTCTCTCAAGAGGTTGCAAATTGTCGCTGCAAAGTTTACCTTTTTATTACAGGCGACCCCTGATGTCGTGCCTCAACCAGATTTGGGTTTTCATCTCTTCTTTCGAAGGGAAAACAGGGCAGTGGAAACCTATCCCCTTGGAAGTCAAGATTGAGCTGTGGCTTGGGATGAGTCTCCTTCCGCTGGCAGTGACCAATTTCCGTCTTCCTTTTGACTCTGTGGTGACGGCCTCGGACGCCTCTGAGACGGGGGGTGGTTTGGTTATGTCTACGGGGCTCAAGCCTATGGGGGCTGCTGCAGTTGAGGCCGCAGTGAGAGGTGAGACCTCTGAGCTCCCTGATGACTGTCAGGCTTTGGGGATTGGGCTTTTTGATGGCATAGGTGCCTTGAGGGTGGCGCTGGATGTCTTGCAAGCCCCGGTTGGGGGCTCTATCGCCCCGGACATCGCTGTAGAATCAGATGCCGGCGCCCGTGGAGATGTCCTGCAGCTCTCCTCTGTTGAAGGAGGAGGTCAGGCAGTGGGCCCTCCGGTTCTCCCGCGTTCACTTAGTCATCATAGGAGGGGGACCCCCTTGCCAGGGGGTGTCCGGCTTGAACTTTGGGCGCAAAGGAGCCGTTGAGGATCCGAGGTCCTCTCTGCATTCTCACGTCAAGCGTATCGTTGACCTGGTGAGGAGTGTCTTCACTTGGGCCAAGGTGTCTTTCTTGATGGAAAGTGTGTTCTCAATGAGCTGGGAGGATCGAGCAGTTTATTCTACTTCCATCGAGGTTCTTCCGTATTTGGTCGATGCCAAGCACTGCTCACTCGCAAGGCGGCCTTGGTTGTGGTGGTTCAATTGGGCCATCCGAAGTGAAGACGGCGTGCGCATCACGCTCCCAGGGTCTCCTGACCGCCATGAGTATGGGGAGGTCCGTTTTGAGGTCGGTGTTGAAGCCTCGCGCTATCTGGAGCCTGGATGGGCTTTGGCGGGCGCGCCAGATCGCAAGTTCAACACGTTTACAACGTCCCAGCCAAATGCCAAACCTAGGTGGAGGCCGGCGGGGATTGATTCCTGCACCCCGCATAATTTGGAGCTTTGGGCGGCGGACAACCATCGCTTCCCGCCGTATCAATACAAACGTGAGAATGGGGTGCATCATCTGAAAAAAGGCTGGCGCCTCGCTTCAGTGGATGAGCGAGAGGTGATTTTAGGTTTTCCTTTGGAGTACACCTCTCTGTGCATGGCGAAGCGTGAGAGGAAGGCAAAGAGAGGAGACTGGGAGAACAAGCGCCTTACAATGTTGGGAAACACATGGTCGGTGCCTGTGGTGGCTTTGCTTTTGAAGAGCTTGTTGGAAGATCATGGGCTTATCCCCCACGCCTCCCTTCGGGAGGTGGTTGAGCGATGTCAGCCAGGAAGGGGGGCGCTTCTCCAAAGCCAACTTTGGAGACGAGCTTGGACACAACGTTCAGGTGTGGTCTCGGACGCGGAGCGCGAGGGGTTGCTGGTGCAGAAGTTGGCAACGCTGGTGTCAGCACGCAGAACCGACGTCTTGCTGACCGCCCCCACCATGTGTGTTCCAAAGTTTCAACGCCTTAGGTCTTCGGTCCCCGCTGGGTTGTGGGGATGGAAAACTGTCTGTGGCTGGCGGTGGAGGAGGACTCCTGGGCGGCCCGAGCACATCAACAAGCTTGAGCTGCGGGCCCTCTTCACGGCTTTGAAGTGGCGAGTCCAGAAGCAGCAGAGGCTTGGCCACCGTTTCCTTCACCTGACGGACTCAATGGTCTCCTTGTTAGTCACCAATAAAGGGAGGTCCTCTTCCTACAACGCATGTGTGCCTATTTGTTAGCGTCCGGAAATGTTTGCTTGCTCGGCTACGTCAACACAGACCAGAACCCGGCAGACCGGCCGTCTCGACGGCCGGTCAAGAGACGATGGTTAAAGCGCAGGTAGTGGAAGGGCGCAGCCGGGCAGAACGCAAACAAAGACGCAAACACTTAGGCGCTTTGCAGGACCTTACAGTCAAACCCGCCACCTTGAAGCGTTATCGTGACTCTGTGCGAGAGTTTTTCCAGCACCTTAAGTATGAGGAGGTCGAGCTGCCGCAAACAAAAACAGCCTTCGATGCGCAGTTAGGGCAGTACATCACTCATCTCTGGGAGGAAGGTGACAGTCGCTACAAAGATAATGACACTGTTTGTGGTCTGCAGCATGCTCAGCCCAACCGTCGGAATTTGCCAATCTCATGGCGGCTTCTGAAGACCTGGGGTCAGCATGAACTGCCCTCGCGGGCCAAGCCGTTGACGCCAACCACTTTGAATGTATCGTGTGGTTATTTACAAGGATCTAAACCACAGCTGGCTTTGGCCTTGCAGGTGGCTTTCTCGGCACTTCTTCGCACGGGGGAGCTTCTGCAGCTGCAAGCTAAGCATATACATGTCGGGAAGTCGTCGTCTATTGTGCTCCACTTGGGTTCGACTAAAATGTCGTATCGTAATGCGGGAGCTGATGCAACAACGTTGGAGAACCTGGAGGTTTCCATGTTGCTCAGAGCGTGGCTTTTGCGTGCTCGCCCGGACGATTTTTTGGTGCATTTGCGCCGGCATGCTTTTCGCGCAGCCTTCCAGAGAGCTTGTGTCGCGTGTGGTTTTACAGACTGCCGGTTTAAGCCGTACAGTCTCAGGAGAGGTGGTGCTACTCACCTCTTTATAACCACTAAAAGCTACTCACAAGTCTGCCAAGCTGGTCGCTGGTCCGCCGAACGGACAGTCAGGATCTATATGCAGGACTCTTTGGCTGTACTGTCAGACATGCAGATGCAGTTTTCACGCAAGCAACTGGCCTTTTCTAAGGTTTGGGTTGACCTCCTGCACTCGCTTGAACCCCCGCGTATGCGGAAGTATGGGGGACGTGGAAGGGACCATGGTTGACCCCCCTGTGGGGGGCTGTGTTGTTTGTTTTGGTGTTGGTGTGGTTGCTTCTTGTTTTCTTTTCTTTTTCCTTGATGAAATCATGGATCCCGGATCGCGATCAGGGAGGTTGTTTCTCCCTCTTTTCTTGCCAGGGCCAAGCCTGGAATGGCTAAGCGTGTGTTTCCTGGCATAGGTTTTTGTACCAACTACTTGCTTGCGGTGAAAATTGAAGGCCGTGCATCCTAAATCAAGGATTCCTACGTAGTTTTTTTAAGCCATGTACTTATTCTTTGGGCAAATGCTCGACTAACAGCCAAATTCCCTCCAGGGGTTCCTTTTACAGGAAAATGTGGTTTGTCCCGACCCAGGGGTTCCTTTTACAGGAGAATGTGTTTTTTCCCCGTTTCCCCCAGTGAGGTTCCATGGTTGTGGATTGGAGGGTATGACCTCAAGATCGATCCGTTCCTTTGGTGCGAACAGACTGGTCCCCTCGATAGGGGTCATCCAGGGATCATGATTGGCTGGGATAAACGAAAGCACAGCGGCAAAGCAGAACGCATCGTGGTGTAACTATAAATTTTCATGTGTTCATTTGTACGTGATGCTTCTGAGGCCCTGATTTCAACAGATCAAGTGATGGCGCCAGTCCACCCTGACCTGACATGTCAATTATCAAGTACAACGTGGCACTGCCGGCCAGATGAATTGTCAATTGACAATGAAATTGTGAACCAAAACTGGGCCAAGGCTGATATGGCATCAGAACCGAACAGAATCGATGTCCCTTGTAGATGTCATGCTTGGGGCTGACATGTGTTTTTGTTGTTGTGCGTGGCCAGCCGGCCTTAGTGGAATCATTCCTGACTCTTTGATTACGAAGCAACAGAAGCAATCAGGCCATGCGCACACTTGTCCACAATGCAGAGGAAGCTTCCACGTCTATGTAAATGGCCAAGCAATTACAACATTCTGTTTGGGTAGTGTATTGCTCACCTCGGCACCACGTTGACTGACAGCGGGACACAACTGCATTTCGTGCTTATATTTTGGGAGGGAAACATGACATTTGTCATGGTCAAAGCTTGCTTACTTAGGGTTGGCAGGGACGTCCATTATCCCTTGAGTAGATGCGATTATGGCTTGGAGCCGCCAACCACACACAGTTTATTGACTGATCTCCGCTTGCCTGCTTTCCTGCTGAGAGCCGGTTGTGTAAAAGCGGTAGGTGGCTAGCCACAATTGCGGAATGGCCGAGCCACCGTTCGGATTCTTACGGCAAGCCAAAAGGATCCTCCTCCATTTTGCGGGATCCCTTGGCGGAAGTACTCATACATACTGTGGATGGACGAAATCCTGCACCACCTAAGAGACCCTGGAATTATGCTTTCCCTGTAAATAGCAACCAGCAAATGGTTTGCCATAGTTTCAAATTGGTGCAGGAGTTCGTCCCACAGTATGGCCATCAGGAGAACCCGCTCAAGATCGACATTCTCAAGCAGGTGGGCACGGCCTATCTCGTGATGAAGCCCGGAGCCACCTGGATGCAGAAGTTTGCCGCCCGCAAAACAATCACAGACCGCAGTGGGAGGATGCAAAGATGGGTTCGGCGAGTGAAATCGAGGTGTCCCTCAGTGACCATGGTGAAACATGGGGGTTGGGCCATGTGCTGTAGCAAGGGAATCCCCCGTGGCGCTCCCAGGAACCTTCAGTTAGATCAGCTAGCTTCCATGTAGCTCCGTCCACCACACAAAGCCCCACTGAAGAGTTCCAAGAGTCCAGGGCATCTAGTGGACTCGCAATTGTTGTAAATGTGCAGCAATACTTGGGTGTTTCTTATGGGAACCCCAAAATTGGGGGGGGGGGAAATTGGCTCAAAGGAAAAGCAAAAGGAAAACGCAAATTCCAATTCGTCGGGGCTCCCTAAGCTTGAGACACCTCCATATGGTTGCGAAGAGGCACTGAAACAATGACACCATTTGTCGGGTCCGACAAATATTGGCTGTGGCTCAAAATTCAACTGGAGGGGTTACGCAGGTTTTGGTACATGTTTCCACTTACCAGGGTTCCATTTTGGTACCGGTTTTTTGAGCCACTGCTAAATATTGAGAATGTCCCCGGCCAGTCAGGTGAAGTCATAGGTCTCTTTTCCTTTCACCAAGCAACGGCACTGGTCTTTTATTGATTGTCCTCGCAAAGCGCAGCCAATAGAGACACGGCCACTATGTACTTGGGTTGACCCAAACAACAACATGTTCGCCTTTCGATTAAAATGGGCGGTATTTCTCCATACCCTCGTGCCAATAATCAGGGAATTTCCACAGGTCTGCCAAGGAACCACCTTTACCAGGGTCAACTACCCTGTCCGCGTTGCCATATGGAGCCCACGAGCGGATGTTAGTGGACGGGGGGGTACCCAGTTACCTTTTTGCCTTTTTGGCTGTCCAACACTTTCACTTATCAAAAAGTTAACCCTTAGACCTGGCCCAACATAGCCCTCCACCCTTTCCTATGCATGGACATGATATCAGCATGGGCGGCGCGGAACTCGATAGGAGTCGTGAAACGGCTTGCTGCTTCAGATTCCACGCTTGTTGGAGTGACCAATCGGCTGTGGGTGGGGTAGGCGCACCACCCATTTTAGTCTAGTTTAGTGGGGATTGGGATGTTCACTGGGGGTACGGGGTTTTGACCCATAGCCAGCTAGCAAAGCATGTAGCTTTTTCGTTTGATCCTATTCGGATCCGCGCGGAAGCTGAGGAAGATCAGTACAAAGTTACCTTCAAAGGCGGGGTTTTCTGGCCGACCGCCCCTTGGGGGGGGAGGGGGGGGGAGGTTGGGGTGGTGTGGGTGGTTTTGGCGTAACATGAGAGATCCAGGGTTGGGCTTCCCCTGGCACCTGCCCCTTTTATGGCGTTTCAGGCAAGGAGGCCAAGGTGCTGACGGCTCGTGAAAGGTCGTCTCCCATGCATGTGAATGGTGCAGGATCGTCGACGGTAGTTCTGAGGGTCCAAGAGAAGGGAGATGGAGCCCATTCCCAGTCCCATTTCCCCTTCCCATTCCCATTCCCACCCCCATTCCATTCATTTCAATTCCCAATGATTCTCAGTCAGCTTGAAGCATGTGGCAAGAGCTGCCGGTCAGGGTTGCTCCGAGCCTCACGTCGCTCAAGCAGTTTCCCTGCACAAAACACGGCTGGTCTTTGGTGCGAGAATAGTCCCTTAGACCTTTTGGTCACGTCTTAGTGGCGCTCAGAGGAGGCAATGGGGCCTTAGACCTTTTAGAAACCAAATTGACATGATTTTTCCAGTGGACCTACAAAAGGTGAGGCGGATTTGCTTCGGGAAGAGCGAGACGCGTCTCGAGTTGCAAGTTTCAAGCTTCGGCTCCGCAAGGAGAGATTGGAGTGCACTCCAATCTCACGTGCTGCACACGTAAGTTTACTTTCCCCTCAGGATACAGCCGCATGTTGTTTGCCACATATGTCACATAGCAACGCGCAGGGGGTTGCTTCACAGACACGCTCTCGCCCTTTCGGTGCAATATGCTGGCATCTGCCGGCCTTTGTTACCGAATCGCCCCTCAGATCTTTGACTATGGGATGTTCTATTGAACCTGAGGTTTGATGTTTGCGGCTTAGACGGGAAGACTCACGTACGTATTCGAAGCTTCAGCTTCCGCAACTTTGGACTTCCGCTTTGTTTGCTTTGTGCGCAATTGTCGCACCGGGAAACCAATAATAAACATAATAATAGTAATGATAAACGTAGTCAAAAAAAAAAAAAAAAAACGAGAGGCCTATGTCCACGCTGGGCACGTTCCCAGGGTTATCGAATGACTGTTCAGTGGGGCCATTCTGAATGTACCTCGATCTCGAGTTGATTGCAATGCTGGCAACAACTAACCCCAGTGTGATATTTATTCATGCGTGTATTGGGGTAAAGCACAGGGTGGTTCCCAAGCGAACAGCTGACCATGGCGGGTACTGAGCTTTGACCGACCATGAAGAAGGAGTCCTATTTCAGCCTGTTTGTCGGGATAGGCAGTTCCTTCGCTTGGTTATGAGAAGGGTCCTCTTTGTAGTGGTAGTTAAGGAAACACAGCTAGACGTGGGTGTGTCTTAGATACGGGACCCAAAATGATTGGTTGTTCAACCATGGTTCCACAAAAAGAACCAACCCCCAAAAAAGTACCATCAAAAGAGACACCCACACCCAATGCCCAGTGCCTGCAAAAGTTGGTGGCTCCCAGCCATCCCCATAGCTTTGTTGTCTTGTTAGTGTTTAGTGGTTGGTTTTCCATTTCGCCCAAAAGTTCGTCACTAGCGGGGGATCTGAGGACTCAGACAAGTTGGCTGTCCCATGCCAGGTGAGTTGACCGCGGACATCGAGGTGGAGCTTAGCAAGGCGTTTGGCGGTCTCCCCATACTGCCCCAAGGCAGCCCCCGTTAGCCATTTGGCGAGGTGGGTCAAAATCAATGGGATCCCATTTTGGGGTAGGTGAATTCACCACCCATTTTAGAACCTATTTTGGTGGGGATTGGGATGTTCACTGAAGCTACGGGATTTTGACCCATTTGCCATTTGGGCGATGGCAAAATGAACCAGGAGGGGCAAACCGCAGGTTTCGGTCCATGTTTCCACTAGGGCAAGCCATTTTGGTACCGGATTTTTGAGCCACAGCCATTTGGCTCAAAAGCTCAAAAAAAACATCGGAACCCTGGCCAAAGAAAAAAACGAGTTGAAAAAAGGGCAGAATCCACTGGTTGCAACTGGGACTGTTGGTTGGAGGGAGTCATGGCTGTGGGTCGAAAACACCCAAAACGGCACTAAAACCTGCGGTTTGCCCGAGCTCTTTCATTTTGAGTCACACCCATTTTAGTCTCGGGTCTCGCTGGGTGTGTCTTGATTTGAGGGTACCCCATTTGGGATGGTTTTGAGAGGACAAAGGGACAAGCTAGTTGGGGATGCCCTATGTGAAGACACCAGGTGGTTCTTTCCTGGTTATTTTTGGGGCATCAGTGAAATACAAACCTACCATACACCATGTTAGTAGAGCCAAAAGGCCACGGGTTTTGTTTTGCGTGCTGCTCACATGACCTTCTGGAAGAGTGAGTTTAAGGTTGCCATGTGAGTGGCCCGGAACGCTTTAGACTGTTAACCCAGTCATGGGAATGAGATCGCCACTTGGGTGTGACAGACAAAGTTGTGTTCCACATGCTCGCTATGCGATCAGTTGGAAGCGATGTATGATGTATTTTGGCACTGATATTGATTCGCAACGGGGGCATGGCATTCTTTTGAACATTTTGGCTACTTGTATTTCCTGTGGTTGAACATGTGCAGAATTTCTGTACGATTATATTCACGTGTATGGTATACACACATACATACATACATACATACATACATACATACATACATACATACATACATACATAAATACATACATCCATCCATACATACATACATACATACATATATATATATATATATATACACATTATATATTACACTGGATACTTTTCCAGGGGCTGTTGATGCGGTGGCGGGGGCAGGAGGCAAGCCAAGGTGATTGGTTCATTGGGGTCGAGTGAGCGATGGTTCCTGGAACCTTGCCGGAGGAAGGGGTGATGATTTCTGCGGGCTTCCCAGAGCCAAGCCCAAGTCCTGTGAGTTTTGAAGGTTCACTTCAAATATGTGGGTCAAGAATAGGCACCCAACATGGAGCACTGGTAAATGGAAGCAAGGACTAAAACCTGCGGTGTCTTGGTGGTTGAATTTTGACCATGCCCAAATCTCTCCAAGATAGAACAGCACACTGACAGGGGGACCATTTCTGGCGAATCGGGAGGGGGTTATCAAGTCAGGCGATCCTTGCATTATTTGGATTGGTTTGGGATTACTGTTGGGTAGCCCCCCCCCCCCTCAAACAAATTGGGGTGGGGGGGGTGAATAGGGAAAACCTATGGGAGTCAGAGTTGGGCCTACTCAAGTAGTGTTTCAGTAAGTACTGCTTAGTGCTTAGAAGTGTTTTAGCATTCCTTGAACTGGCCCAGTACAGTTTAGAATGGTATTCCTCTGTACTGGTTCAGTCGTCTATAGAGTTGGTTGAGTATTTGTTTAGTATTCCCCTGTACAGTGACTTTTTGTTTTTATTTGTTTCCTCCCCTTGAACATTTATGTTTATTAACGTTTTTGGGCTTCCCTGCACCCGCTTGAGTATATGTTTGGGCAGCTGTTTTAAACGGTGCCATACAGAATTTGGCTGCTAGGGGTCTCAGTTGGTTTTGCTGACTCCGCATCGACTTAGTGTTGGTGTTGTATTGGTATTGGTTGAGTATTGGGTAGTATTAGTTTACTATTAGTTTAGTATTGCCAGGGCATGTGATCATGTCTTTTTCTCACCCCCGGACGGGCAGCCGTATTAGGAAAAAGCACCTTTTCTGGATCACTTGTTTGACTTCCCTCTTTGATTATTCGCTATCCGACATTCACCGAACCCGAGTATCCTGCCACCCATGGAACCCTAGCCTTTGGAAGATCTTTTTGAGGGACCTTCTGCTCGCCCCCGCAAAAGGCGCTGGGTATCGTTTGTTGGATTCAGAGTTCGTGTTCGTTTTTTTGGGGCTCCCTCCATAGAGAATCAACTGGTATTTTCTCCAAAGGGGAGTGGCCCTTTGATTGGTTATAACTTATAACTACCACCTCCCCCTTTTTTTTGGAAGAGCTGCCCAGCCCATGCACCGGCAGCGAAGCCCAGCGTGTCCGATTTCCCTTCTGCGGGCCAGATGGACGCAGAAGCGCCCAAGCCGGAGCCGGAAACGGAGGAGAAGAAGCAAGAGGCTGGATCAGAATTGAAGGGTCAGGGGATCGCAGGGTTTAGTCTACTTGTCCATTTGCCAGGAATTCTTTTCGGGGCGTTTTTTTTTTGAGCCACACCCAGGTGTTTTGCGGGTATGGATGCTTGTATGGCACAAATATAAGCTTAGGCAGTATATACCAATTATAGGTGGTAGTATAATGTAGCCTCCATACCTCCAAAACCCATACCTGAAACTGCTCTTGATTGTACTGGGCTCCCTATTTGGGATTGTTTGCGCGGGATGCCCTTTTTAGTTGTTGGGGCGACCTTACAGGGAAACCAACCAGGAACACCTCCATTTTGTGCCCCCTATTTCGAGACAAGCGCACATGTACCTCGAAGGGGGATTTAAACGTTGCTTTTCCGTCCCATTCAAAGTGAGTTTCCGTTTAGTTTAGTAGAGTGATGCGTAGGGTAAACTATTGCATGGGTGTGTCTTTCTTCAGCGGCATCCCAATGTCAGCTTCTCGCCGAATGAAAAACACGCCTCCTCATGTAACGTGTCCGCTGGAAGCATCACCCCAACAAGGACAAACTTGATCAAAGGCGATGCTTAAGCAGCCCAGAAAGGGAAACTAAAGTGCGAATTTCAATTAGAAACCCTTGTGTGCATATCATTCACATGCGTATTTATGCCCACCGATCAGCATAGCATATGGGGTCGTCTGCAAGTGGGAACGCCCAAAATGAGTGATTTCCCGGCTCCTTTTGACTTCCGGTTCAAACAGACCCACAAGGGGTACTGGAGATGTGTTAAGACAAGGACCAACATGGGTCTCCTGTTCCTTCATCCCACGAAAGTCGCATGTTGACATCCTTTTGTCAGATGTTGGGAGGGTTCGGAAAGGCATTGGGCCAGGCCGTGTTTTATCAACAGGGGGGGATGGTTTAGGGGTCACTCCAACTCCTTCCCTGCTGAGGGCTTGAAATTTCGCCCCGTTAGGCCAGCGCCAGCGCAAAGGATGCTGCAGGGCCCAGCGGGACTGCGGGGGGCGGTCAGCCGATGCTCAACTTTGGGCTGGGGTCCATGTTTTGTGACAGTTGGGGGTAATCAAAGGCAGAAGCTCAGAGTGGTTTTCCTTTCAACCTATAAAACCACTGGCTTAATATTGAGAACCACTCTGGTAGGAAGTCCTTTACCTACCATTTAGGACTTCAATCACTAAGGCCTTCCTTTGAAGAAGGGCGCCGAGAAAGGCATGACTGACAAGAATCAATCTTTTCGCGGCAACGGGTCTACTACTTAACCTCAGCCGCACCAAAATTGCTATGAAGTATCATGAAAGCCCTTGAACATGGGCTGGTGGAAGAAAAATCCTTACGTGAATGATGTCCACTTGAATTATACCAAACTCTACTCTTCTACCTGGGTTGCTGTATGTGTCGTGGAGACTATACTACAGAAACCAAAGCTTTGTAGATGGGGGGTGTCTTTTTGAGGTATACTAGAAGGACACCACGATTTTGTGTTGTTTGTTTCGGGGGGGATCGCGCGCTTTTGACTTGCAGGTACTTGCCATCGATTGGGCGTCCGTTTTACGCTGCCACGTGGTTCGTTCTGCCTTGCGGGGGCCGATTTTGAGGAACCCGAGCCACATTTCGAACGGTGTGTCTTTGTCCAAGCAGGGATGGCTTAGACAAGGGAAGCATTCGAGAGGGGAAGGTCCAGCCTATGAATTTTAGTTGAGCCTATGGTGGACAGGATGTCCACCAACCACTTTTGAGGCTCATGAAAGTTCATGGCATGGCTCCTTGCGAGCAGATTGGCTGGATGGGGTTAGTGGGGGGTCTTGGAGCCTGAAAGGCTGAAGAGGTGTCTGTTTTGCGTGCTGCAGCGTTTCTTCCATCAGGGGCTGCACTGGGACAGGACATCTGATATGATAGGTGAATGGATTCCAGTTGTTTCCTCATTGGAAGTTTGTTGCATTGCTGCATCCTAGTGGACGGTTGGTTCATTTCAAAGCAGTATGATGATACCAAAACAACGGGCCCAAACGCCTGAAGCTTTGATTTTGCTTTTTGACTTCCTGGGCTTTCCCGTTGGCGACGACTGCGTTGGCCAGCTCGCTCAGGCTAAGGAGTACCTCGAGAATCACCAGGTCCTGCAGTTTGTGCAGGCCGAGAACTCCGTGGATACGCGGCGCTTTGGGAAAGAATGGGTAGTCCATTCAAGAAACGGTGTCAAAGGAGTGCAGCAATGGCTTTGCAAGTAGTGTGCATCCCAAGAGAAAGTTTGAATGGCAGCGTTCAGCATTCTGCTCACTGGGTTTGAGTCAGATCGACACCAAGTGCAAATTCTGCTCTGTGCATGGATGCGTTACCCGCAAGAAACCCGCGCATTGCCTTGGGGCGTGCGTTTTGGGGTTGGCTCAGATGCCATCGGGCCTGACCGGCAGAGCTGGGTGGCTGGCCCCAAAGGTCTTGTGCCCTACGAATGACCTTGTTCTATGCCTGGGTTGTCACAAGGCAGCTGAACAAACTGCATGTTTCCATGGTCCCCCAGCCCTTTTGTATGAGAAACCCCGACAAGCCACCCTGAAACCGCGGCTAGCCCCTGCCTGGGAACACGAGAAGGTCAAGTTGTCCGTGTGATGGATATTGTTTTTCAATCCCCCATCTTGGCACGCAAGAATAGGCTCCGTACATTTGAGTGTGTATTGTGTTACCGGGAACGCAATTTGGTGCACATCCCTTCACATCCATTTCTCCCAAATCCACTTTCCCTGTAACACATACCCTCTAACGCCACGGCACCCACCAAAGAACTGGTCCCCTGAACATCGGCTCGGACCGACCCAAAACCAGACGTCAGGTAGCTCGGCACCTCATTCAGCGCCAGGCGGTGCTTCAGACGGTCATCAAAGAGAGGCCTGCGGACCCCTACGAGTACATGGCCAGGCGCTCTCCACGCCGATTTCACGCCGGAGTCGGCCGGAGTTGGGAGAAAAGGGGAACGGCACCATTTGGGTGTGTCGGTTGTGTTCAAGCCATGTTTTAGCCACGTGGCTGGCGAGTTTCTCCGTTGCATCTCGCGTTGCGCCTTGCGACAGCCGAACCGCGCCCATCGGACGGTAGAATCAAGCTGGGCAAAGGATGGCGACCTCACAAGGGGTTTGACGACCTGATGACGGTTCTTTACTTGGCTTCATGGTTGTGTTTTATGAAGGTTCTTTACTTGGCTTCATGGTGCTCTTTGGTCCTGTTCATTTTTAGTACGGGGCTGCAACATACAAAGTTGTTTCTACCATAACAAGGATTGGAAAGTCGGGGAATCCAGCTTTGACCGTAGCACTGCTTTGGTTCCCAGTTATATGTTGTTTTCGGGGCTTTGTTCAATGACCAGGACTTGGAGCAAAGCTGCGGTCGGGCCCGTTGATCTGAGTGTCTTTTCGGAGTCTCGATGTTGATTGAGTTGTTTGCGGATCTTTCGGGGCAATGGACATGTTAGAAGTAAATCTAAGTCCTTAAAGCCAATTTTGTAAAAATGACTTATGAACCCTGAAGTCCCTTACTTATGTTAGCTGGGAATCAACCACTTGTAGAAAGGGCCCCCCCTCCCGAGAATCGCCCCTTCGACACCGGGCGCGGGACTCCATGGGCCCAGGCGAAGCCCATTGTCCAGAGGTAACACCTCCCAATAACAGCTGCTTTGGAGGCGTTACGTCCACCGTCCTCTTTCCGTTACGTTATGATGTTTTTTTGCTTTTGGATGGCTGCAAAAACGTTTTTCTGTGATCAGGCACCCCAGCAATATTCGGGGTTGGGTAATGTTGGTTTCAAATCATTGGATTGGAACCAGCAGGAAAAGAGGAACGCATGTGTCCGATTCGTTGACCTGCACACAAACATGGGTGTGAATTGTAATGGGGAACCTTCTGGCGGACATCGTGGGATTTATGTCCACCAAGCCTTTAACTTCCATTTGGTTAAGAATATTATTTGTTTCATTGTTTTTCCCTGTTGGCCTGAAAGGGAATCTATGACTACTGGACATATAGTTTTTTTTTTTTTTTTTTTTTTTTCCCAGGGGTCTTATGGAAGTTGTCCAGGGGTCTTGACCAAATGGAAGTCACTGAGTTTTTTCCTCAAAGTTCATAGCCGGAGACTTGAGGACCCTGGATGCCCATGTCGAGTGGGAAACCCCCAAACCCTACACCGTCCGCAAGTGAAAGCCGCCCCCAACATCGCCCCTCCACACCCCTGGCTCAGCTGCGTCATACCGTGGATGGACGACATCCTGCGCCCCAGCCTAGCATGATGAGTCCCCTGTAAAAAATAATAATAACGCACACAGTGGTGTCCCGTGGCTTGACGCTGGCGCGAAACGGATCTCGCCCATCCACAGCATGAGTCATTCTTTTTTTGCGGGGCTTGTGGGTCTGGGAACTCTTTGAGCCCTAACACCTGTGCCCTCGGATGTCGGGGCAGGCATTTCATGAACGGCTACAGCTCTGAGGAGGCAATCAAAGTGCATGCCAAGAAGGCAGGGTGGCAGGGTACTGGTCTCGGGGAATCAGCCGGTTTTTGGGAATGAACTGTTTGGGCTTTCCCTGAAGGAAACTCTGCAAATCTTCACCCCTTCAAAATGGAATTGGGGGAGGGGGTGACCCCTGGAATTCCATGTAGGGTTGCATGTTCTCTTTTGTGGGGAAGACTGAATAAATGGAATTGTGGGACCCCCACCCCCCTGCCACTTAAGGTTCTCTACAAGGGAACGTTCATGGAGCTCGAGCACCAGCGAGAGAGCGAGAGAGGGAAAGGCTTCGCACGCAGATCTCACGCGAAATCTCAGTCAGGGCTTGGGACACAGCACCAACACCCGTTCTTTATTGAGAGATGCTTCTGGTGGACATAGAAGGCCTTGTCACTTCTTGGCAACCAGCACCTACAAGACTCTGATTGGCCTCACATTTCGGCAGGGTCTCGGGTCTGAGTAGGCTTGACAAGGCGTACGCAGCCAATGCAGTGTTATCCGCATGGCCCCTTCTAAACAAACACTTGCCGCCAATGTGCGCTGAACGCAGGCGCAATCCGCCATCTCGCAGCCTTCTGCACCAGAGCCAGTGGCTGCTGAGGAAAAGAAAGGGGAGGTTGCGGCAGCGGAGCCCGCCAAGGAGACCCCAGCCGCAGCCGCGGAGCCTGCACTGGAGACCCCAGCTGCAGCTGCTGCAGAGCCTGCCGCTGAGGCAGCTGCACCAGCACCTGAGCCAGCGGCCGCTGAGGAGGATCCTGATTGGATGAAGGTGCTCAACGAGGCCCCAGCTGCCGCAGAGTCTGCTGCCGAGGCTGCAGCTGCGGAGCCTGCCAAGGAGACTCCAGCTGCAGAGGCAGCTGCCGCGGAGCCTGCTGCTGAGGCTGCGGCACCTGCACCCCCTGCTGAGGAGAAGAAGGAGGAGGCTGCAGCGGCGGAGCCTGCCAAGGAGACCCCAGCAGCTGTCGCAGAGCCTGCTGCCGAGGCGGCACCTGCACCCCCTGCTGAGGAGAAGAAGGAGGAGGCTGCAGCAGCGAAGCCTGCCAAGGAGACCCCTGCCGCAGAGGCAGCTGCGGCGGAGCCTGCTGCCGAGGCTGCGGCACCTGCACCCCCTGCTGAGGAGAAGAAGGAGGAGGCTGCAGCGGCGGAGCCTGCCAAGGAGGCCCCAGCCGCAGAGGCAGCTGAGCCTGCTGCCGAGGCTGCAGCACCTGCACCCGAGCCGGTGGCCGCTGAGGAGAAGAAAGAGGAGGCTGCAGCAGCGGAGCCTGCCAAGGAGACCCCCGCCGCAGAGGCAGCCGCAGAGCCTGCCGCCGAGGCAGCACCTGCACCTGAGCCGGCGGCTGCAGAAGAAAAGAAGGGGGAGGCTGCAGCTGTGGAGCCTGCAGCTGTGGAGCCTGCCGCTGAGGCTGCGGCACCTGCACCTGAGCCCGCGGCCGCAGAGGAGGATCCTGATTGGATGAAGGTGCTCAACGAGGCCCCAGCTGCCGCAGAGTCTGCTGCCGAGGCTGCAGCTGCGGAGCCTGCCAAGGAGACTCCAGCTGCAGAGGCAGCTGCCGCGGAGCCTGCTGCCGAGGCTGCGGCACCTACACCCGAGCCGCCAGCTGCGGTGCCTGCCACAGAGCCTGCTGCCGAGGCTGCACCTGCACCTGAGCCGGCGGCCGCCGAGGAGAAAAAGGAGGAGGTTGCAGCTGCGGAGCCTGCCAAGGAGACCCCAGCCGCAGAGGCAGCTGCCGCGGAGCCTGCTGCCGAGGCTGCAGCAGCAGAGCCTTCCCAGACGCCAGCTGCAGAGGCAGCTGCTGCTGCCGAGGCTGCGGCACCTGCACCCCCTGCTGAGGAGAAGAAGGAGGAGGCTGCAGCTGCGGAGCCTGCCAAGGAGACCCCAGCCGCAGAGGCAGCTGTCGTGGAGCCTGCTGCCGAGGTTGCAGCTGCGGAGCCTGCCAAGGAGACCCCCGCCACAGAGGCGGCTGCCGCGGAGCCTCCTGCCGAGGCTGCAGCAGCGGAGCCCGCCAAGGAGACCCCAGCTGCAGAGGCAGCTGCCGCGGAGCCTGCTGCCGAGGCTGCAGCAGCGGAGCCCGCCAAGGAGACCCCAGCTGCAGAGGCAGCTGCGCCTGCTGCCGAGGCTGCGGTACCTGCACCCCCTGCTGAGGAGAAGAAGGAGGAGGCTGCAGCTGCGGAGCCTGCCAAGGAGACTCCAGCTGCAGAGGCAGTTGCCACAGAGCCTGCTGCCGAGGCTGCAGCACCTGCACCTGAGCCCGTGGAGGAGAAGAAAGAGGAGGCTTCAGCACCTGCTCCCGAGCCGGCGGCTACCGAGGACAAGAAAGAGGAGGCTGTAGCTGCGGAGCCTGCGAAGGAGACTCCAGCCGTAGAGGAAGCTGCCGCGCAGCCTGCTGCCGAGGCTGCAGCTGCGGAGCCTGCCAAGGAGACTCCAGCCGCAGAGGCAGCTGCCGCGGAGCCCGCTGCCGAGGCTGCAGCACCTGCACCTGAGCCGGCGGCTGCTGAGGAGAAGAAGGAGGAGTCTGCAGCCGCGGAGCCTGCCAAGGAGACCCCAGCCGCAGAGGCAGCTGCCGCCGAGCCTGCGGCTGAGGCTGCTGCACCTGCACCTGAGCCGCCGGTTGCCGAGGAGAAGAAGGCGGAGGTTGCAGCTGCGGAGCCTGCCAAGGAGACCCCAGCCGCAGAGGCAGCTGCCACAGAGCCTGCTGCCGAAAATGCAGCTGCGGAGCCTGCTAAGGAGACTCCAGCCGCAGAGGCAGCTGCCACCGAGCCTGTTGCTGAGGCTGCAGCAGCACCTGCACCTGTGGAGCCTGCCAAGGAGACCGCAGCCGCAGAGGCAGCTGCCGCGGAGCCTGCTGCCGAGGCTGCAGCACCTGCACCTGAGCCGGCGGCCGCCGAGGAGAAGAAGGAGGAAGTTGCAGCTGCGGAGCCTGCCAAAGAGACCCCAGCCACAGAGGCAGCTGCCACGGAGCCTGCTGCCGAGGCTGCAGCACCTGCACCTGAGCCGGCGGCTGCTGAGGAGAAGAAAGAGGAGGCTGCAGCTGCAGAGTCTGCTAAGGAGACTCCAGCCGCAGAGGCAGCTGCCACGGAGCCTGCTGCTGAGGCTGCAGCACCTGCACCTGAGTCGGCGGCTGTCGAGGAGAAGAAGGAGGAGGTTGCAGCTTCGGAGCCCGCCAAGGCGACCCCAGCCGCAGAGGCAGCTGCCCCCCAGCCTGCTGAGGCAGCTGCAGAGCCTGCCAAGGAGACTCCAGCTGCAGAGGCAGCTCCTGCTGCCGAAGCGAAGGCGGAGGAAGCAGCACCTGCGTGAGAGCTGATCTGATTTTGTTGCAGCATAGTTTTCCATGTAGCTTGCACGTTTAGAAACGGTTCACCTTGTAGCAACAAGATGCTGTAGTGGAACTTTCAGTTCAACCTTAGGATGAGGCCAGTTGCATGCAGTCAAAATGACTGGCTTGCCTTTGGCTCCGCTCCGATCGCCTTGGCGCCTTGGCTTCACTTGGCAGCCTCCTCTTCGGCTTTGTTTCGTCTGCCGAAGGGCATGTTTCCCCCGGTAGACACCTGAATAAAAACTTTGAGTATGCGTGTGCGCTGCAATTGAATTGGGGGGTTCGATGGGGTTCGCCAGTGTCTCTTGTGGCACGAACCCTCCAGGCGAGGAAACCATCAACTATCCTGATTGGATCGTTTGAACTGCTGTGACTCAGAGGCGGGGTCCATTCCCGGCTTTTGGGGCGCCTGTTGTTGCGTTTGTTGAACATCAGACTTTGGTGGGACCCCATTCACTTGTCAGGTGGCTCCAACTTACCACGGGCTTGGTGGACATGAATCCCCACCAAATTCTGATGTCCGCCATTTCGGTTCCGGGACCAAATAAACCATCTAGAGCCAACCAACCCCAGATGTTTCACTTGTCTCGGATAGACGCCAAGCCCAGTTTT